ACCGGAATATTACACAGCCATGAGAAAGAAGGAAATCCTGCCATTTGCTACATAAATGGACCTTGAGGGCATGACCCTTAGTAAGATAAGTCAGACAGAGAAAGACGGATACTGTATAACTTATATGTAGAGCCTAAAAAAATCCAAACATGTAAAAACAGTAGAATGATGGTTTCCAGGGTTGGGGGGGTGGGCGAATTGGGGGGATGTTGTTTAGGTGACGAACTTGCTCCCAGTAGATAGATTGTCCTGGAGATCTAGTGGCCAGCATAGGGATTACGGACAACGATACTGTTCCTTAAAGTTCAAAGTCGCTAAGAGACTAGATCTTAATTCAACCCACCACACACACACACACACACACACACACACACACACACACACACGCACACACGAAAGAAATGACAATTAGGTGACTGGAGAGAGGGATACAATATAGGAATCTATCGAGTCAACATGTCGCAGACCTTAAACTTACACCATGTTATATGTCAGTTATACCTCAATAAAAGCAATTAAAAAAAAAAACCGTTTTCACACAAAACTTGGGCACGAATGTGTACAACAGCTCCTTCATACTTGCCAAAAAAACCCAGAAATGACCCAAATGGCCTTCTGCAGATACTGTGGCACACGCATGCCTCGGCGGTACAAAGGGATGAACGCTTGACAAGGGTGACGACTCGCGTGAATCTCGAAGACTCTACGCTGAGGGAAGCCCGTCTCGGAAGGTCACCTACCCTACGATTCCTTTTCTTGGACGTTCTCAAAAAGATAAAATGACGGGGATGGAGAAGGGGTCGGTGGTTGCGAAGACTCGGGCGAGGGAGGGCGCGATCATCAAGGTCTAGCATCCGGTGGGGTGATGGGGGTACCCCCGGCCCCGCCCGCGATGCTGGTTACAGACACTAGACACGAGTTAAAATTCATAGACTGCCCACAGAAAGAAAAAATACTCACTATGCCACGTGATAACTTTACAAAGAAAACGCGAGATTAGAAAAACGTCGTTAAGAGGGAATGGGCTTTATTTAATGGGAAAGCCAACCAAGCCCATCGCTTTGGACTTTCCGAGCTGGTTGGGTCCCCGCAGCAGCTGAGGTGGGCACCGTCCCGTGCCGCGCTGAGAAATAATTCACTCTAATTGAAAAGAGCAGAACGAAGATGTCAGGCTCTGGGCCAGCCAGAATCCCCGTGGGCTCTCTCCCGGTGAGGGATCAGGCCCACGCGTTTTCCCGACGCTCGGGAACCAGGCCCGGAACACCTGTCACAGTGTCGCCCGCGGAGCCTGTCTTTTCCCGCGGGACACGGAAAACGCTGCTGGTGCGGACGGCGAGTTTTGAGAAACACGTCCGGAGCAATCGTGGGAAGTCGGGCAACGTGGCCTGCCGAGGAGGTTCTTCTTCGTCTGGCCCTGTCACGTGTGTCGTCTCAGATACAGGGGTAACTTGACTTCTTCTCCCTTCTCCCTCCACAAAGACTGTAAAAACTTAAGACAGCTGGTCTCGCTGTGGCGTAGCCACTGGACGTGAGTGGGCCGTCCCTGTGCCGCCGCTGTTTACAATGAAGCCACCGACCGTTGTTCTAAACCTACGTCGCATCGTGAAGCGTTGTTTCTTCCGAGCTGCAATTAACCGAGTGGCAGTGGGGACGGGACGACTGCCTAGACACCTCAAGAGCGGCCCTGCCACTTGGTCGCTGCTGTGTGCAGGGGGAGGGGAGGCTGAGGGGTCACAGGACGCTCGCTGAAGTTCCTTTATGTGTCGGCGGTCGCCAGTGCTGGTATCTGGATTAGGTTCCGGGGGGAAAAATGGCAGAGGACGATACGAGATTCGAGAAGCAAGATACTTATCTCCGTTTTACCAGCCAATTTATTTTGAAAAGTTTGCACAGCTGCATTATCTCTAAAAGTAGTGTTTGTTGAAAGATCTCAAGTTCCTTTAACAAACGGGCAATGTGGTTTATAACTCGGGGGGACGCGCAGGGGCCCATAGAAGCGAGGTGAGCAAGGGGGCATCACATCTAACCAAGGCCGAGTGTTACCCAAAGCAGTGGAAAACGAACAGCCCCTGAAATGCAAGGGGAGAGCGAAGCCTCTGCCCCTGTCGCATCTGTGGTAGGGAAGCGTTGACAGAAGCGGGGACTTTCTCACGCGCAGTGAATTTGGCGAATTTGGTGAACTTGGTCCTCCTGGCCGCAAACTTCCAGGAAGCCAGACCCTTCCTGCGCAAACGATGTGGTTTCCTCAGGCGCATAAAAATAGTCCTCTCCCCATGAAAAGACTCAGGAATAGAAGCCAAGGGCCCTCCCACACACCAGCCGGCAGCTGTCCTCGTCGCTAGGGCCAACTGAAGTGCACACTTAGGAAACGAGGTTCTGGGAGCAGCCGGGCAAGGTAGGGGCGGATGGCGAGGACGAAGCCAGCCCAGGGCAGAGAGCGCGTGAGACGTGCAGAGACCCACTAGACCAGGTGACCCCCGCACCTGCCCGTACGTTTGCAAGAAAAGCCAGCCAACGTGAACAAAACCAGACCAGGTGTCTGCCTTCTCGCTCGCCCAGGGGACCCCCACGCTGCCCGGGTCGGGGGCCCCAGAGGCTTCCAGCTGGGGGCCAGAATCTCGTGTGCCCTGCCACCCCGGGGACAGATGCGACTTTTAGAAGGCCCGGGCCCTATTTTGCTGCCTTTGGCACTTAAAGTTCATGAACCCGTTAGAAGAATTCCCACCGTGCATATTCTTAAAATATAAAACATAGCCTGGTTTCACTTCGGGCGACGCTGTGGTTTCATCAACCTGAGCTCAAAAATCTAATAAATTTAATAGATTTATAATCTGCCACGATTTCGCTTTCTGAATTTCAGGATTCCCGTTAAGGGAATACTCAGGATTAGCCTAATGAGCCATCTAGTTACTGGTCTTCAGACACCTGAACGACTTCATGTCCCTTAAGGAAACCATCTGATAATCTGAATTATTAACAATTTATTTTCAGAATCCCCTGAACTTCCAATAAGGGTTTTAATCTATTTAGCGTGTCATCGTAACCATTAATCGCCAGCAGCTAGAGCCCAAAGTCAGAAGTCTAAACGCTGGCATCTTCCTTCATGATCTGGGACAACGTGCACCGGCCCAGAGACCAATGCTGGAGAGACGCTGGGGTGAGGCTGTGGGGCCTTCGGTTCCCAGAGCCCCCGCTGGCCAGCGCGTGACCAGCTGTGTGACCTTGGGCCAGCTGCTCACACTCTCCGTGACTCGGTGTCCCCAGCCGCAAAACAGGGCCGACCTCAGGAGCTGCCGTGAGGACCAAACGAGCTCGGGAACCCCAGGTGAGCACAGAGGTGCCTAGAGCGGGCAGCGGTAGGCGGCGCCGAGGCCTCGGCCGAACTTCTGTGACTTGCGATGTCCTCGTGCTAACTTTTAGCGGTTCCGTTAGGGGTCTGCAGTTTGAAAATAACGTCCAGCGAGCTCCATCGCGAGCCGGTAACACCGTCGTGTTTTTCGTTTTAATATCCGGTGGATCTCACGCTAACACACCTGTCCCTCTGTGTTCACCAGGGTCGAGAATATGGCCATGAGGTTGGAAGAGATCAACGAACGGGAAAGTTTTATGAAGACGTCCCTGCAGACGGTGGACCTGCGACTGGCCCAGCTGGAGGAGCTGGCGGGCAGGATGGCCAGCGCGCTGGAGAGCCTGGCGGGCCTGGACGGCGGCGACGC